CGGCCGCCTTCGATGACCGCCTGCGGCACAAGGCGACGAACCAACCACCGGCCAGTGGGATTTGACGGTAGACGGCCAGACAGGAATGGCAGGCGGCCGCCTGCGGCGGATGAGTTGACCGGCGTCACGTCCTGCCGGTGACGTGACGGAAGGCGGTCGGGACAGGACCAGAGGCGGCCGCCTGTTTGGCTGCCTACCAGATTTTTTGTGCTATAAATACCCCGATTTTTGCTGAACTCAAACACACCTCTTCCAACCCTAATTCAGTTCAAAAAGGTCTTGTTCTTTGGCTATTTCCGCAGCTCCAAGGTTTTTTGGGAGAGAGAAACTTCAAATCTTCATATCTTCTTCATTTTAGCTTCAAATTGTAAGTTCTTTATATGTATTTTCATCTTCTCAACGAGTAGAATCTGAATCTGTGCTTTGTTTTCTCGATCTGTTCTTCGAATATTTCCAGAATATTTATCTTGTATTTCGCATTTTCTTCCATAAATTAAATAAAATAGTTGTTGATGTTGAATTCATTCCAATTAATTATATAGTTGTTGACTAGCCTCAAGGTTGTTATTTATCTGAAGAAAGTTAATTTTCACGAAGTGCAAGTAATTTTTAATTAATTTCGGTAATTAGGTGTTATTATTGCATAAATTAAATTAATTACACAAAAATAGAAAAAAATAGTCTCGGCCCTAATTCCAGTTTATTTCACTGTAATATCACCCCTAGTAGTCAACAAAAAATTTAGAACGAATTTAACCTATTTTTAATTTCCTTTTGTATTTTATAGTTAAAAGTGGGAAAATTATCAATTAATTGTTAAAATTGGATTTTAGGTTTGAAAATTCGTAAAAAATTCCAGAAAGTCATATTGTAGTTCAGAAAGTTTATTTTGACAATATCGTATTTTTGTTTAATTTGTTCTTTTATACATGTTTAATTCCATGTTAATGCTTAATTTATTTACCATATTGTTGAATGCAAAAATAATGTTTAGTAGCTAAATTTGTTTTGGGCATGAATTGAGTAAAGGAATATGGATTGACTTGTTAGCCGAAAATTAGGGGTTAAAATTAATTAATTGAGCTAGTTATTCAATTTGATGAATTAGTAATTAATAGTTGTTAGCCAATTTCTTTAATTAAATTTTGGAAAATTATTTCTAACTTGTCTATGAGATTAGAAAATAATTTGAGCCAACTTTATTCAAGCACATTAATAAGACCTAGAAATAGGATAATTTTAATGAAATGGATTTACATCTTGTCTATGAGAAATAAATTCAAATTACTTAAATAATGAATTTAATTAGTTAATGAATTCAGCTATTTTTTATCAATTAAAATTTTGGAGAATTATTTCTGCCTTGTCTATGAGATTAGAATTTAATTCAAGCCAACTATTTTTGAATACATTAATGAAACCTAGAAATAGGATAAATTAATGAAAGTAAATTCTATTCTTGTCCATGAGAAAAGAAATTATTAATCCAATTTTAGTTTTAAATTTCCCTAATTACTAGGTCCAAGAAGATATCCATTTCCAATTACTCAATTCATTGCCCTTACTTGCCTCAATAATTTTTTAGAATATTTAAATCTTAAATCTTTTAGTTGAAATTTGCTCCTAGTGTAATTGTGCAATTTGGCCTAGTCTAGAATACAATCACCCTTTTTGTACTGAAAAAGCTTCCAACAATTAGCGATAGCCCGTGACTAAGACTAAATTAAGAAAACTCCTCCGCCATTCCTCAAGAGACACGATACTCGGGGAAAAACCGAAAGGTTAGACTCCGTTTTACTACAACGCCGCGAAAGCGGTTATCACTTCCGCTCTCTAGAGGTGTCGCCTCCCTGGGGTCCCCCGAATATGAATGAACATCGATGGTACTTCCGGGGGCCGTTCCCTAGGTCGACATCGTCTTCCTCGGAGAAGGCGCCGAGCTCTCGCTTCTTGGCAGGCGGTGTCTCCTTTGACGTGGTAGCTTGGTCGGACCGCTGCCACGTCAGGCTCCTCTTCTGCGGGACGCCTCCTTGTTTGCCAACGAATTGGCCCAGGTACCCTTTCTGGATGAGTTCTTCAATTTGCCGTCGGAGAATGACGCAATCATCTGTATTATGCCCTGCTCTCCGATGGAATCGACAATATTGGTCGTGGTTGCGCTTGGCAGTCACCACATCACACTCCTCCGGAAAGTCGACTAAATCTTGCTCCTCCGCGTAGTCGAGGATGGCCCCGACCGGCTGAGCAAGTGGAGTCAATTGCTTGACGGGCTGTAACGGTCCGCTCGGGACGTCCGCCTTGCCCTTGCCTCTGCTTTTGTTACCTTTGTACTTGTTGTTTTTGTTGCTAGCTTTGCCGTCAGCTTTCTCAGCACCCGAACCGGCTTCCTTCTTCTTTTCTTCTTTTGCACCTTCTTCCTCATCTCTTTTCCTCTGCAAGGCGTCCTCCGCCTCGGCTTGCCGGTCGGCACGGCCGAGCGCCTCCTCGTATGAGGTAAGGGGACTTCTGACGAAATCTTTGTAAAGCTCGCCCGATCGGATAGAGTTTGTGAGCATGGCCACCCCGGTCCTGTCATCAAGGCCCTGAACCTTGACTGACTCGGCCCTCCACCTGGCTAGGAAGGTCGACAATGATTCCTTCTTCCCCTGTTTTAGGCCGAACAGGTGGCTGAAGTTTTTCTTGACGTCTCGGGAGCTCGCGAACCTCAAGAGAAAGCGCTGAGCCAACTCACGAAAATTCGTGATACTCCCGTCGGGTAGAGAGTCATACCATTCACGAGCCGAGCCATCCAAAGTGGTGGAGAAACCGCGGCATCAGATGGCGTCCTCGTACCCCATCATGGCCATGTAGGAAAGGTACCGAGATACATGATGCTGGGGGTCAGAAGCGCCCTTGTAGGCTTCGATGGCGCAGGGCTTGTAGCCCCTGGGCAATGGAACATCCATGACCGCCCGGGTGAAAGGTTCGGGTATCCGGAGGTCGGCCGTGTAGGGCTCCCCTCCGACGACCCTTCTTCTCAACTCGTCTAGGCGCTGTCGGAGATCTTCCACCTCGGTCGGCGGTGGGTTCCCCCGGACAGCCCCAGCGCGGGGCTGGGCATGTCCGGCGGCACCTCCAAGTCGTCCGTGCACGTGAGGTCGGGGCCCCACGTTTTGCCTCTCCATGGAGCCAGTCCGACTGCTCGCCCGGTGAGAGTGGCAAGAGGGCTCGCCTCCTTCCACCTGCATTGGGCGCCCCTGTTGGGCGCCCCTCTCCGCCTGCCGATGGGGTCGGCTAAGCTGCTGGGAGACTTCTTCCCCCTTGTTTTGGTTGGATCCAGAGTGTCGCTCATCACGCCGCCTGGAGGACACCTCCACATCCGCTGGCGTCTGTTGACGGGCAAGCTCATCCACATTTCCGCCAGATACCATCTGTTGGAAACCTTGAGCCAAGGTCCCCAGGACCCGAGTTGCCTCCTGTAGGGCTTCCACCCCGACATTGAGTCGAGCCGGGTCCATGCGCGGATCATGACGTCGCCTCCCCCCGCCGGCTGCGGACCGAGCGCTCACCTTGGGTGTGGTTGAGCGTCGCCCTTAGGTCACCGTGGCCTGATAATTGGTTCTGAAGGTCACCTTGGCGCGCCACCCTCCTGCCCTGTACATGGTTGTCGAGGGCACGTTGGCGGCCAGACCGGGTGGACTCCTCGGTGTGGACTGAGACATGGTCACGTCGAGACGAGATTCCGGCCATCTTCCTATGTGATTCCTACTCAAGTGATGTGAGAGACAATAGAGGCTCTCAATGAAAGCACCAATGTTAGTCCAAATTAGGACGCTCGTAGGCTTTTAGGAAAGCTACGTAAGAACACTCAAGCAGGAATTAGGAAAGTACGAATATGGAAAGTTGCAAAGGGATTTAGTTGCCAGAAATAGCATATCTCATTTGAATTTTGGACTTGCCTTTTATAGGCGATTACAAATGGTAACTGCCAGAGACACTAATGGCTAATTAATTACAACATTAATACGGAATTAAATACATAATTAAGTCACGCATTAATTACTTCGGCCGTTATAGTTTCTGGGTGGCATGCTGGATGCTTGAGCTCCCTCCTGCTGGACTGGACGGTGGGCTTCCCGCTAGGCTGGAGGAAGGCTTCTGACCGGGCTGGAGGCAGGCTCCCGGGTAGGCTGGAAGGCAGGCTCCCCGTTGGGCTGGAGGCAGGCTGCTGGCCGGGCTGGAAGGCAGGCTCCCACCTGGGTTGGACCGCGGGCTCCCAGCTGAGCTGGTCGGCATGCTCTCTGCTGGGCTGGAAGGCAGGCTCCCCGTTGGCCGGGCTGGAGGGCAGGCTCCCCGCTGGGCTGGTCGACAGGCTCTCTTGGGCTTCCGCTCCTTGATTGGCCCGATCGGTTGGGCCGACTCGAGCCCTGGGTTGCTGGGCTTGGGCCCGCTGGTCCAAGTTCGGGGCCTGGGCCGATTAGGCTCTGGGCCTAGTCCCATAACCCCATCAGCACTGTTTGACACTGTTTTATGTAGATAATTTGCCAAATAAGGAAAGTAAGTAAGTGTGAACTTAATTTAGATACTACCCAAAAAGGAAAATGGTAATTTAATTGGAGGACAAGGGTATTTTGTTATGAACTAAGATTTCCATACTTTTAGAATTAATTCCACTTTAGGTCCTCCGAGTTTTGTGTCATTTCTATATTTAGTCCTCATCTTTCACTTTATCCATTTTTGTTACCTTACTATTGTTTTCTTGACCATTTGTGGTCCATTTTTGAGCATCTTTACTATCGGAAAAGGACTATATATGGTCAAGAAAATAATAATCAGGTACCAAAAATGGATAAAATGAAAGACGATGACTAATTGTGGAATTAGTGCAAAACTCGAAGGACCATAAGTGGAATTTCTTCGTACTTTTATGGACCAAGGGCCCGTTTACTACGCTAATAGAAGCCTTATTGGCTTTCTTAACCCTAGCTCTCTATCTTCTTCTTTGCGCTTTACGCATCCAGGCTCCAGCAACGCAAGATCAGCCAGCAGCCGCGCAGCACTCCGTCTTCATCAAATTAAAAAGAGCACCGGTTCATCTCCATCAACAAGAAGCTTCACCTTTATTTCAGGTTCTTCATTTAGCTATTTCCTTAGATTTATTTGTAATTCTCTATCTTCATCTTCACTGATTTACTGAGTTCTACCATCTTTAACAGTTATTTCGAACTCATATATCTCGAACTCTTCTCTCGAATTGGTAAAGATGAAAATAATATCCCAATACAAAATAAAATAGAATAGTTGTACATAATATTCCGATACAGTATTAATTAAAACTTAAGAAGACATCAAACAAAAGAAATCCAAAGGGGAAACTCTGGATAATCTTTTGGGTCTATCCTCTTTTATTTTCCAAATTTGCATTTGGGTGGAGAATTTAAGGCCAAAGGATAAAATGAAGGATGTTCGGCCTATGTAAAAATCCATATATAAGTTTGCAGAACTCATGATGAATGCAGATTTGATAGGGATGAGATGAATGGTGGAACTTTTATTCTCTTTCTTTTATTGAAGTCCATCATTTCTTCAAAAGGTCATCTTATGTGATAGAACTTCTGGTAGAATTTACCATCAAAGCCATTAGAACCTGCACAGCTGTTTTCATTAAGCGAGAAGCCAGTCTTTTTAACCTCCAGGGGAGAAGACAGCTGTTTCTTTTTTGTTATATAACACACATTTGGTAGTTAGTTCTCCATTCTTAAAAGTACTTTAAAAAGCGCTACCCTGCCTTGTTGGTAGTACAACTTGAAAACTCTAAGGTGAAAACTAACTTGCCTGTCCACTGGTTTGGGTGGTGCTAAGGCACGTTCCTCTTGCAAGACTCCAAATCTTGATGCACCAATCGTTCATCCCCCCCAGAAGCCAAGTGGTCATAGTTATAAGGACACCACGCCACGTCAGTGCCTTCACTGCAGTAGAATGGCCAGTGAAGCTATATAGGTAATGTCCTCCAGGGCTCATCTTGAAAGCATCCCATATGTAAACAATGTTGTCATTCCCACCACTCACTCGATAGTTCCCCTCCTCTAACCACTTCAACCACATACTTCCTTACTGTGTGCTCTCATCACGTATACAACACTCTTTTTCTCTCGCACTGCACCCCAAAAAGTTAATATTAAAAATCAAGGGTGAAAATGGAACTTGCTTATTCTTTTTTTATCTACAAGATGTACAATCTATTGTTCCCACTATTGCTTATTCAGAGCTTCCTGATGTTAGAATAGCACCCTTCCAATCTATTGTTCCCACCCTTCCGACATGACCGGGCACACATCTTACCTGTTGAGTGGCCATTGTAATGTGTTCTGTAGTATAAGTATTAGATAAGATAATTACCAAAAACATGTGGCAATGTGACACCAATCCTAATGCTGAAATAACCGGTAAAATGTAATTTTGGAAGAATCATTGCATTGTCGTTCTGAAAAATAGTCATGTTTCATGTAGAAATTTTAAAATTTTGGTTGTGTAAAGTTTTTTTAGAGTCCATTGTATAATATTTTGCTTTTTTGATTTGTTGAACTAAACGTAGCATCCTTGGTCCCATTTGATAGCCACTGTTTTTCTTTGGCTTATCTGGCATTCTGATGTATCAATTGTTTTTTTTTGGCCCAGCTGCGGCATCTTTACACAACCATTGCCGAATTGAGGACCTCGCCTCCCGTGGCCTAAGATGGTGCATGTCTCTTACTACCGGAACTATGGAAAGACATTCAAAAAGCCACGTCGCCCATATGAGAAGGAGCGTTTGGATTCTGAGTTGAAGCTTGTGGGTGAGTATGGTCTCAGGTGCAAGCGGGAGCTGTGGAGAGTCCAGTATGCTTTGAGTCGTATCAGGAATAATGCACGAAAGCTTCTTACCCTCGATGAAAAGGATCCAAAGCGTATTTTTCAGGGTGATGCACTTCTGAAGAGGATGAATCAATATGGGTTGCTGGATGAGAGCCAAAACAAGCTTGATTATGTGCTTGCCCTCACTGTTGAGAATTTCCTTGAGCGCCGTCTACAGACTTTGGTCTTCAAGGCTGGCATGGCCAAGTCAATCCATCATGCTAGAGTTCTCATTAGGCAGAAGCACATCCGAGTTGGAAGGCAGGTGGTCAATGTTCCATCCTTTATGGTCAGGGTGGACTCGCAGAAACACATTGATTTCTCACTGTCTAGCCCCTTCGGTGGTGGTCGTCCAGGAAGAGTGAAGAGAAAGAACCAGAAGGCAGCTGCGAAGAAGGCTGGTGGTGGTGATGGAGACGAAGAAGATGAGGAATGAGCATATCTTAAATGAATCTAGAACCATGGAGCGTGTGGGCTTGGTTTTTCTTTTCTGTTTTATTTACTTCAGTTCGGATGTTATCTGCCACCTTTGATGCCATTTTCGGATACTGTGTTTTGTTTTGCAGTATTTATATTTAATTTTCCTATTGAATACTGATGCATTTTTGAGAAAAAAAATCAATTGGATTTTTGACCATGCAAGGCTAATTTATTCAACTATATATGCCCTAAAGTGACTAATAAATAATAATAATGAAAAAGTAGGTAAGCGCTTGGATGCCCACACTAAGCACAATTAGGGGTGGATCTGGGCTGGTTCTAGGCCTGGGTAGGCTTTTTTTGGGATAGAATGAAGCGGAACCGGCCTGGGTATAAACCGGGTTTGGGTTCGGATTGGGCCTGGTTCTATGTTTTTTTTTTGGTTTTTAATTAACCCCTGACCCCCACCCTCAAACCCCCCAAAACACCCATCCCTAACCAAGAAAAACAAAAAAGTTGAAAAAAAAGCCCGGCTCCGGCCTGACTGAGTTGGTTCAAGAAAAATGTGGCCTGAACCTGGCCCGCCCAACCTGCCCCAACCGGGTTAGCACCAACCGGGCTGGTCCGGGCCCGCACAGTAGCGGGCTGGGCTGGTTCCTGGCCGGGCCGAACCGGTTGGGTCCATGCCTAACGCACATATGATCATTTTAATAATTTTTTCTACATTGTAATTTCCTTCTTTAATCTACCTCTAATATATATTGAATTGTTTATGCACATAATTCAACAATTCAGGCAGCTCATCCGTATCTAAACAAATTCAATCAAACTTTATTTTTTACCAAAAGGAAAAAAATCTCTTAATGTTGTGAATTTAGAATCAGCCTATTCATTCTGGTTACTGCTCAACTAAATCAGTGAAAATAAAAAGGTTTCTATCGAGGGAAACCTTGATTGCTTAAATATATAAAACTCTTAGCTACGTTTTTTCCTTTGGGAAAAGACAGGAGCAAAGCAGAATCTATTTGAGCAATTTCAGAAAATGAGTTCATCTCTACCAGGCACAATTTGGGCAACTTGAACTTGTTTTCAGGAGCAAAAGTAGTGCAAACACAATCTATTTGAGTATTCAGAAGATGAATTCATTAGAACTTCAGCATTTTGACTTTTTTTGCAACATCTTTGCTGGGAAAAAGATACATTACATTCAATGAAAATCAATTGCTATTGTTGAAATAGTCTTTATTTGGAATGAGTTGAAACATGGAATACTTGTGTGAAGGAGTAGGCACTGAGAGATGGGGGGCTTACAACTTACAAGCTTGGAATACTCAACATCCCAAAGATGAATCTCAGAGCTTGAACGTCGTACGTCTAATGTTTTTTCGTCGCAACACTGCTTGCATAACGATTGCCATGATTATCATTCGAATCTCCCAACTGCTGAACTTTACGGTTAACGACGTTGAACATGAAGCCTTTCGAGTTCATAGGAAGCCTGAAATCGGACCGATGTATGATTTAATTATTTAAATTTGTTCTACTATGATTTATCTGAAATTTATTAATTATGTAATACTACTTCCGAGTTCCGTCCCAAATTGATTAGCAAAATCAACTTTTCTTGGTCAAACATTTAATTTTATTCACTTAATTGGGATGTCAATTTTTAATTATATCTAATTTGGAGTTTGCAAGTTTGAAGAGATCTTAATCTAATTTTGAATGTGTAAATTTTAATTGTTAAAAATTGAATCAATTATCAATAAAGAGAATTTAACTTTAGCATTGGTGACAAAAAAAAAATTGACTTTGCATATCAATTTGGGACGGAGGGAGTATGAAAATTGATAAATTGTGTGAACTTTTGAAGGATAACTAAACTTTAATTTCCTCTTAAACACTTGGAAAATTTGACATTGTTTGGTGTTAGTAAGGCAGGGTACCGTCCCGTTTGAAAATAGAACCGTACAGAATGGGTTTAGGTCTAAGATCAAACCGAACCAAACCGTTTGAATAGTCACGGCACGGGTACGGGCTCGGCAAAATATTGCACCGGATCGGACCGCGCCCACCCCTAATCAAGATCATACAGACACTAGCTTACACTGCAACTGGATTTACAACAAAATTGTTCTGTTGGCGAATGAGTCAACATAGTGTGAGCTAGGTCAAGATCCATCGAGCTTCCATTCGGAATAAACCTGTCCCCCTTCATCAAAGAATAATACAAAATCAAATCAAAAAGAAAGAAGAAGAAAAAAAAAATGAAAAACAAGAAACTGGGGAGGGACGAGAACAGGAAAGTGTATTTTGTAGGAGAGGTGAGGAGGTGGGTTGGAGCGCAGAAAAGCCTTTCGAGGTATTTCCTTTCCATTCTTGAAATGATAAAAGTAAACGATCTTGGAGAGTTCTAAACAAAGGATTTCTTTCCGTATGATAATGGGAAAATTATCAAATCAGTTCATCTACTATGTTCAAAAAGTCAATTAAGTCTACATACTATTTTTTCAACCAATTAAGTGTTCCAAGTTACAAAAAATGACCAATTTTACTTTTTATCCGGTGACCGACCGGTTTCCCTGTTAATCTGCCTACATGGATCATCCACGTGGCTTTTTTTCCTTGTAACCGCTGATTTGGCCCGTCCATGTGGCATTAGAGCCTCCTTTTCCTTTTTTTTGGAAGCTCTCCGGTGCATCCATATTGTGGAATACACCGGTGCAATCAATACATGTGACAAAATTTCAGTCAACATATATTCCACGCAATTCATGTCACTATAATTAAAAAATTGCATAATGGACCTTCACCATTAAAAAATCATTTACGTCCGCCCTCATATTCACCCCACCAGTCAGCCATTCATATTGGAGTGTGTATACTGTACAACCGGTTGTTCAGTGAGCACGGTACAGCCGATGACATTTTTGTAATTAATGTAAAAATCACGGTTTCTGCTAAATGAGCATTAATGTAATGTTAATGACCAATAGTCCAATTTTAATGAGTATCAAGAGTCTAATAATGAGCAACATGTTATTACAAGAAAGATGATATCACAAACTACAAAACGGTGACATTTTTGTAATTTCAGTAAAAAACGCGGTTTTCGTTAGATGAGCATTAATATACCTTTAATGAGCGTCTGGCACATTCTACTGAGTATTAAAAGTCGAATAATGAGTATTGTGATATCAACTTCATATATTGTATTTCACTTTCTTTTTCTTATTTTTTTTTCTTTTCAAAAAACTCATTAAATTATATCTATAATCAATTTCTATGAATTTCAATATGCGAATCTAATGTAATATGGTACTTTTGAAATATGCATTGTTATGATATTTTAAAAGTGAGCATTACATGAGTAGCAGTTGAGCATACGTAATTCACAAAATGAGTATTTATATGAAACTCATAAGTATTTTTAGTCGAGTATCAAGACATTTTCATTGAGCACCAAACCTCCTCTATTGAATATTAGAAACATGCAATTGGGTTTTTATTGTATGTGCTCTCTATCTATAATCAACTTTTACGTAAATCTAATGTAACATGGTACTTTTCAAATATGCATTGATAAAACATTTTAAATTAAGCATAATACCACTACAAAATCATAAGCTTTGTTAGTTGAGGATCAAGACATTTTTATTGAACATCAAACTTACTCGATTGAGTATCAAAAACATGCAATTGAATATCATGACCTTTCTTCCCATTATATAATCTAACTCTTATGCAGATCTAATATGATACTTTTGAAATATGCATTCATACAACATTCTAAAATGAGAATAAAATCAATACTAGATGAGCATACGGTACTAACAAAATGAACATCGAAAAATTCAAAAACTCATTTAAATTCTTTAATGTGTTCAAATATTCAATTGTGTATTGCTCATTTTTTTCATCGTTATACTCATTCAAATATAGCACAAACTGTTTTCTATAATATATTTATCTAGTAAATTCGTTATTATCAATTGTGGATGCACATTTATTTTAAATTATACTAGTATAACACAAAACACATGTTAGTAATTAACATACAATATTTAATAAACTAAGAAATATTCATCCTAAAACTAAAAATATAGAAAACAAACACTAATACCTAAAATATTTTATAAAGCACAAATTAAAAAACTTAAGTTAGAAGGTGATTGGAAAAACAAAAAAAAAGACAAACTCAAACATTAAATAATATTTTATATAACACATCATCATAGTTGAATAAAAAAATAAAGTAAAAGATTGTTACAGAAAACATAAAGAAAAGAAAAGCAACAAGTAAAATAAAGAAAAAGAAGCAACGAGAAACTCAGGAGGAGGGCTGACGGCGGAAAAGAGAGAAAATTCAACAAAAATCACTAAGCTTATTAATATCCTTTGAATTTGACTAAATTACAAAAAAAACGACTGTACCATGCCCTAGGTACAGCCGGTTGTACGGTAGTATTTGCCATTCATATTGTTGACATTTCATCTTCTCCGAACAAATTCGAGTGAATAAGGAATTAAGAACTTCAAATCAATGCCATTGGAACCAAGCATTGAAATCAAGGCCCTCGTTTATGTAGTGTCACTGAACTAATCTAGCAACCCTTGTTCCAGTTTCAGACGACCATCTCCACTGATGGCAATCCATGAACGATGCAGACGGAGGTCAAATCAGCACAACGGCCTTAAGAGAAAGATGATCAACAAACCGGTTCCAGATAAGGATAACTAGATTTCAATTTTAATATGTTGTTTGAAATTCTTCAGGGGTTCATGTCACTTCACATAAAACAAACTGCTAGCAGCTATATATCCTAAGCACCAAGATTGTGAGAGTCCGAACAAATACTTTATGGTTTGTTTCGAGAAACTACTTTTAGTAATTTATAAGAATATGTACGTAATTTGCTTCAAGTTCAATGATTCTTAGGATAAAATTACACTTTCTTGATTATAAATAGTATTTGATGCATATGTATTATCATTTGTATCTTTTCTTTGTGCAAAGGTATAACTAGTAGCCGCTTTTCTCATAGTGCTTGCACAAGTCTTTCCCAATCTCTTAGTTGACACTGCATTTCTTGGATCCCTCTTGAAGGTTGCAATGCACAATTTTGCATTAATATAATCTGGAATTTGATTTACATTGTGGTTTTGATTTAACAAAATGCATTCCATCATTATGAATAATAATAGGAGATTGCAACTGCATCTGGAGATAGGACAAAAGCGCTTTCAATTTGGAGGTTGCTCACC